TGAATCATTTGAGAGGTACATGCCTTATACAAGTTACTGGTTTGAAAAGTGGTGTTGGCGTAGGATCCAGTAGTATTTAAGCTCTAAAGTTTGATTTGATTCTTGTTGCCATCTGCAATATGCATTTACTTCCGTGATCTCGCAGAAAGGTTAACTGCTACTCTGCTAGGACAACTGATCGACTAGCTTGTGTCTAGGCCCTGTTATCTCTCACAGTCTGAATATGCCAAACAATAGAATGGTAGGCAATGTCAACCTGGGCTCTAAAGCCTTTAAGGAACCCTGTTGGAGCTGATTCCATACATGTTTTAGGTGAAGACATTTTCCAGTTTCCCATATGATTATCTTGGCTTCAATTTCCTTGGCAATGTAGAATGGAGGCCTTTTCATTGTCAGTACTTGGAAGCTATAAAAGTCTGCCAATTTGCACATCAAGTATGCGGAGTGTCTATGAAGGTCGGGTTTACCTTCTGAGGCTCAAATGCTTGATGTAGACTTTATGATTTGCTCAGTCCTGTAGGTACTTATATGTGGCTTTAGATACACTAGGTCGAAAATTCTTGCCATGGGGATATGGCATTGCTGTGGTTATGAATCCTGCTCTAATTCCCCGGTCGCTCTGAGGTGGCAATAGACTCAAGCTTGTCTATAGACTAACAAGCTTCTTTGAATGGCGTAATCATGGTACTCTTGGATCGACCTTTTGATCTCTCAGCGTTTTTGACTGCTTCACAACAGTATAGTTATTCTTGTCCTACCATGGTATATCAGAGTTTGAACCAATTTATGCTTCAAGAACTCAAAGCCTTACAATAGATTTCATTGGACCATTATGTAAGATCATTTCTTCGGTAGGACTATTGTCAAAAACTGGGATTTCATGTGGTTTGTTATCAAATTTAAAGCTAAAGATTTTCCCTAATGTTTGAGAAAGAGATGTGCTATCAAAAAATCCTAGAATTTGAATAATTTGATTAAATTGGCTAATCCTCTACACAGTTGATATTTTTCGGCAAGTTCAATGGATCTTTTTCTGGTTGAATCATCACTCTTAAACAAATGTGCATGACTGTGATCGAGGAGGTTTGGTCATTGTTCAAATTATCCTAGCTTTCTATTTGCATCTCTTTTTGATCATTTAATTAGCGTGTCAACAGTCGACTTGTTCCTCAAGAATTGAAACTTGAATTGTGTGGTTTCTGCTGGAAATTATCTGGATTTGTTTCTTTGCTCTTTTGCTCCTTGTGCCTAAAGTATTTTCTTGGATTTGTGGGGTGGGNTAAAGGGGACACTTCGTCACTTTAGCCTGATTCCTCCAGGTGGTGGTGGGATATTGACACATTCTTTGGCTAGTGTAGCATCCTGGTTAAAGGTTTCTTTGCTTTGCCCTCCTTTGAGTTAAACTAGTCTGATTATTCAAGTTTACTGAATTCATACAAGATAATTTTGTCTACTGATTTCAGGTTAAGGAGGCTGACCAGTCTGGTGATGGGGTTGAATCCCTCATAAACAGAGTTGAGAGTTTATTGGCTGAAGGGAAACTATCAGAAGCTGCTGATGCACTTGAGAAGGGTTTAAAGGGCACTCAGGCGGCAGGAGTTGTTGATGATTGGGTTAAGCGTGCTAGGAATAGAGCTATAACCGAGCAAGCACTAACCTTACTGCAATCTTATGCCACCACTATCAGCATAACTTGAAACCATTATCATTATAGCATCAAGGTTCAGTTTATCTGCTGCCTACAAAGTTGCTCGAGAATGGCTTTTTGATGATTAACATGTTGAAATTTTCAGTGATTGTGGCACTTCTATTTTTGTTGCAATCCAAGTAAAATAGTTATGCCTTTCTTTATCCGGGAATAATCTTCGTTGAAAGATACATCATTATTGAGCAGCATTGTTGTAAAACCGGCTACTTTTGTTCATTTCTTTTAGGTCAACCATGAAGAGGATATATTTAGCAACAGTAACCATTGGATTTTTCTTTTTTGATGGACGATCCTATTAGCTGTTACCTTGATTGGTATATATAATAAAGGCAGCTCAGTCAACTGTATAACTTCTTCGGTAGTTTTCCGTAGGAGTTGGATTTCAAAGAGCTCAGCCAAGCATTGCAAGGTTTCTCTTCTGTTCGAGGATACGTGGACATAATTAAGGTTGAAATTTCTCAAGAAACATCGATTATGTATATTCTAACAATTCTGGTTGAATTCATTATGAAATGCTAGTAAGGGTTTGAAGTTTCATTTATATTCAGAAGTTCTAAAACATCGGCTTGGAAAGCAAAAGTTTTTTGTGAAATTGTAACTTTAATGGGATTACATGTTTAATAAATTACTAGACTTCCTTTTAATTGTTATAGTACCTGTTTGATCGTTAAACCTTTTCGAAACTAAACCTGAAATTTTGACGATCTTTCAGACTTGTAGGTAATAAGCTTCTGCAGTTCAGTCTGGACGCTGGGTTTCCAGAGATTATTTTTTATTGCTTTTAGATTTTGGCGTGTTTTTCTCCAGTTAATATAGCTGTTGAATTTTTTTTCTTTAAAAAGACCAGAACGAAAATAAGAATTTTAAATTGGGAACTCCATGAAGTATGTGATACCAAATATGATACATTGCTTAAGGAGGCTCATCTAATTCCAGTGCGACATAATTTCCAAATTATATAGATAACGACCTCTTAACTGACAACTCCATAAATAAAAGAGTGATACCATAAGTCAAGACACGTTACTCAAGTAAAAATTGCGCGAGGCATCCTATTTGGTCGCCCCCATTTAACTTATACTCATTTTTTTTAAACTTTGAATTTGTATACACTTTTTAAACAACTTCAGCCCCATTTCTCCTCCTCTTCCTCAAAGTTATATCCGTCTCTTCTTTCTCAAACTTCTCCTTCTCCCTTTTCTGCAAGAAATCTGTTACGACTATGTATATAACCTATATTCACACAAAGAAAATCCACAGTTAACAACAACCAAGCTAATATAATTAAGAAACTTATAATTAATTACCCCTATAGTGAGAATGAATAAGCCAACGAAAGCAACGAAAAGGAGAGCTGATACGATGGTTGACACTCCATCATCACTGGTGGAAGAAACTAATTGCTCTGTGTTTTCAGCTGTAGAAACTATTTGCTCAGTGGTTGGATTTGCTTCTGATAGCAAGAAATTTTCAGAAATAGCAGAAACCATAAGCCAGTTACAAACAAAAACTTCAGCTCTAGAGCTGAAGTTCGCCAATTACAAACAAAAACTTCAGCTCTGAGCTGAAGTTCGCCAGTTACAAAACAAAAACTTCAGCTCTAGAGCTGAACTTCAGGCCCGGCTACTAGAATGTTGAAGTTTTGCGTGATTACCTTTGCTACTTCAGCCTCGTATGCTGAAGTTATGCGAAAAAGCGGGTGCGTTTGCAATTTTTTTTGCAAAGCAGACACAAGTTAAAACGTGACACAAAAAGCGGGTATAGATGCAAATGCTCCTTACTCATTTAGGTTCACCTAACTCCATTCAGAAATAGTCCAGCTTAAATAGAACGTGTACTTTCAAGTGATAACTACTCTGAATGCATAATCTATCTATTAATAAAAGGACAGGCAAAAGCCACCATTTTTGGACAAGTGGCATCATCACAATAAGACATTTGGCATTTTAGGACATAGCTCCAACAAAATAGGAACTAAAAGATTATTTGGGGGAAAAATCTCAAACAAAATACTTTTGTGAATTAAAATTGTGTAGTTCTTATTTTTAAAGAAGCAAAAGGTCAAAAACATTCTAAAGCTTATTCAGATACTAATGTGTATGTTTAAGAAGGGCTCCATTTTTAGACCTCTATTTGGGAGAAAAATCTCTTATAAAAGTCTATATTCTATTTTTGTGAACTAAAAATTCAGTTTTTATTTTTATTTTTTAACAAGATGTTAATATTTTTTAGTTCATTGTTATTTAAATTTTTTAGATTTATATCCCACTTGCCCTAAATTTCAGATTTTACCTAAATCTACATTATCTGAACCTACACACGATCGGGAACCATATGTAACTGCTCAAAACTGACTATCCAAATTTCTATATCTTTCACTAATAGTCTATACTTAAATTCCAAAGGCAAACATATATCAAAAATTCAAGTAAAAATTGCACGGAGGGCCCTATTTGGTCTCCCCCATTTAACCTGTTCCTATTTTTAAAAAAAGTTTTAATGTGTACCCGCTTTTTAAACGACTTCAGCCCCCTTTCTCCTCCTCCTTTTCCTCCTCAAAGTTATATCCGCCCTCAATCTGATAGGCCACTCCTTTCTGAAGTGGCTGATTGTGAAAATATTCCAGTATTTGACATGGGTTGTGGAGATATTCTTGACGAAATTTATTCTTCAGCTATCTCTTTAAATACATATTTCTTACTATTACTCAAAATTCCTTTTAATTGTAAGTACTAAAAACTCAAATGCGACAAGTAATTTGGCAAGAATACTAGTTGTTTGATTTCACAAGGACTTAGATTGCTATACGATGTGAATTCACACTTTGAAAATCGTCGTGGATTGCCATACGATGTGATTCCCGCTTTGAAGATTATTGTAGATTCTTAGTAATGAATAGCAAAAACTTCAGCTCTAGAGCTGAAGTTCGCCAGTTACAAAAACAAAAACTTCAGCAAATAGAGAACAAAACTTCAGTTACTATGCTTAAGTTCAGCAAAACCAAAACTTCAGCACACTTGCTACTTCAGTCCCGTCTACTAGAATGCTGAAGTTTTGCGTGATTGCCTTTGCTACTTCAGCCCCGTATGCTGAAGTTACGCGAAAAAGTGGGTACGTTTGCAATTTTTTCCCAAAGCGGGCACAAGTTAAAACGTGACCCAAAAAGTGGGTATAGATGCAAATGCCCCAAAATTCAACCGCTAAATTTTGGCTACGACCGCAAATACAAAAAAACTATGTGTTTTGCTTTTATGAAGCAACTTGCAGAAACTGAAAGATCGTGTGTTCCGGAGTCTTACTTTGAAAGAGAAATTTCTAAGACAAAATAACATATTTGCCTAAACGTTTGATCTGGTTTGGATAATGATCATGGCAGAATAATTATAGGTACCTTCCCATGAATTTCATGATTATTCTTCTATTTGGTAGATCTGCGTGGATGTAAATAATGAAGGAATCTCCATGGGCGGTGAAGAAACGCTCCTAAAGAGGAGCGACATAGAGATCATTATTAGTGAGAAAGAGAAAAATGATTTTATGGCAAGTAATGTTTATGTCACATATGGTAATATTTATTCGGTTATTTTTTACTCTGTTTATGTACCTTTAATTTTCTGAACCTATTTTCCTTTCTTTAAGTCAACATATGACTGTTCATCCCAAAACATCGTGAGGGTTCATAGTTCTATGATTAGAAGATATTCTTTTTCTTAAGAAAATAATATAGTAGTAGTTATGATAATCTCATAATCATGAAGAAGGATTTCACTGATCTTACAATATGGATAGTTAAGTATTTTTTTTTTTGGTAATTAGGATAGTTAAGTAATTTGAAGTAATAGATTAATATTTACTTCAAATATCATGCAAAGGAGAAAACCGGAGGAGAATTAATTTTTGAAGCCTGATAAAAGACAAGAAAATTTCTGAAGTAGAATGCAACAGTTGAAAGAAGTTAGAAGGCGTTTGGCCTATCTTGAGTTATTTTTATTTTAAGCCCATTCTCTGTCTTGAGTTGTAAATTCTGTAGAGGGTATATTCATATGTTAATTAGTCAAGTTGCACATGCTTGTAGGCGTTGGTGCAACTCTGATTGTTGCCAAAAAAAATAAGGGCTCAAATGTAGCTATTTTTGGATTGGGAGCTATAGGCCTTGCTGCGAGGCTTAATATTTCTAATGACAATTTCATCCTGTCTTTTTTAATATGTTATATTCAAAATAAGTGTTGAAGCGACTAAATTGATTGCATCCCATTTTAACAGGTCGCAGAAGGAACAATCATTGCAGATTTGTCGGGGCTTCAAAAATTATTGGTGTTGATTTGAATGCTACCAGATGTAAGCTTGGTAAAATATCCAAATTTGTGTGCTCTTGCTTGAACATTAGAATTTTTAATTTTCCTATCTATTGACCTTTATTTCTATCGTTAGTCATCCTCCTGTTTAAAAAGTAAATTTACTCGTGTTCTTATACAACAAAGAGATTTTGTATGACATAATTTGTGAACCCAATTAAAGGACTATAATAAACCAGTTCAAGAGGTACTCATATATGCTTCTATCTCCTAATGTATCAGTTTATATTGGCATAAAATTGAGTGAAAGTATCATCCCTTTGTAAATATCTCAAATGTTTGATACGTAATTATTGAGATGACTGATGGCAGAGTGAAGCGTGGAGTGCACATGTCAAATTAAAAAAAACAGATATTCAAATTAAATTTTGAATTCAAAGTAAAGAATCTATTTCGTAATTTTAGATAGTGCAGACACATTTCAGCAATATGTTTATTTCCAAAGGAACTAATTTATATAGGACATTACATAGTGATAGGTGTGGTTAATTATATGAGTGCTTTGCTGGTGAAATTGAATATGATGTTAGTCATCATGAAATATTGCAGATAAATGGATGTTTTAGCCTTTTGTCTATTATTGATGCGATACAATATGACTGTTTCTCAATAGCTTATTGTTACGTCTTCTGCTACATCATTGTTTGATTCTGCTCTTTCTTACTTTGACAGGAAAAATATGATTGAAGTCACCATTCAATTAATGAGGCATTCTCCATTTAGTGCTCTAATTGTTAATGTGATCTCACAGTTCGGAAGACTTAATGGCATCCGACATGTACGTGTGTTACAGTTCCTTTTCATTCTTATTATTCTTCTCACTCCTGATATAATTGGTTTATAAAGTATTATTTCACTTCTGCAGTTGGGAAAGAGATAGTTGATCTCTACTTGGATCATATTAGGAAGCTTGCCAATAACTTTACTGGATATTGGGTCCGAACAGAGCATGTGATTATGAAATACATTGACAGAAGGTATATGGTTTGCATTCTTTCTTCTGTTTCCCCCCATAAAATTAATGAATTTATTTAACTAAATATCTTTAAATTTATTCAAATTTCTGATGCTCAGTCTAATTATTATGTTGTAATAAGTTAAACATGAATGCAATATCATGTACTGTTTTATATATATGAGATATGAGATATTTGCTTTCGAGGTAGATTGATGGGAATGTAGAAAGGGAGATTATTAATCAAAAATCGCTTCAACAACCAAATATAATTCAATTCAAACATACAATTTTGTCTACTTATATTTTGTTATTTTTTTATGCATCTGGTGTATTTATTTGGGGAACATATAATATAGACCAGGGCGGAGCTAGCATAGGTTTGGTGGGTTCGGTCGAACCCAGTAACATTTATCATACCTTGTATTTGTCTTAAGAAGTCCATTGAATATGTATAAATTGTTAATTTTGAACTCAGTAACATAAACGAGCTAGAATTCCGAACCCATAAGGTTCAAATCTTGGCTTCACCTCTGAATCTCTGAGAGACTACAATCTTACTATAAAAGCAGTTTGGAGCCCTTTTAGCATTATTAATGTAAAATGCCCGACAAAATCTAAATTATAGTATTTATATAGATGTTAATATATTTGATCAAATATATTGTAGGGTATTCTAATAGTGTTTTATTTTTTCAGGATGTTGTTGCACAGGTGTACAACCGGACCAAGTTATTTTCAAAGATGTTGCAATGAAACAAGAGTACATCAGACGCAACTCCTTGGCGGATCTTTGTCTCGACACATTAGTATACTACAAAGTTTATTGCATCTTTCTCTTTCAATATTTTGTGTTCATTCAACTCATGCGGATGACTTTGTTTCTTTTCCTCCTAGGCCACTTTGCAATGCACATACCACAACAATAGATGTACTTTGAACTGGTCTAGCCATGATCACCCTCCCTCTTAAGAAAATAGCAGCTACAGTTGCTGGTTTGTTGTGTTTGGCCATAATGGTCAGTGAGGAGATGATTATTTTTAGGTATATATTTCAGATTAAACGGTTTTTATGATGGATTTTATACTGCATGTTTATTTCTTAAGATAATATTTTACTTAATTGTGTTTTAGAAGCTCTTACTCTTAATGCCTGTAAATATCGTGTCGAAATGCTTGCAATTTATACAGAACAGTAATTCCTTTATAAAACACAAAAAGTAAAAGATGTTTTGGAACTAAAAAAATTCTCCTATTCACAACTTTACGCGCCTGAACTAAAAAAATTTATATCTCTCTATTGGCGTGTCGAAACCACGATTCGCTTGTGCCATTGGAAAGTGGACTTCTGGAATTATAATATTAATTTCTGATATTGTGTTTTCACAGCATTGCCTGCCCTAACTTAAAAAATACATCTTTATGCAAGCACGTCGAAATCGATATCCGCTTGTGTAATTAGAAAGAAAACTTCTTGATTATAATGTATACAAAATTATGTCCGGATTCTTTGTAGATTTGTGCAGATATTCTTATGAACTCAGTTTTGAATTTCTGTCATTTTGTTTTTCACAACTTTGCACGTTCTTACTTGAAGTTTTTTATTTTGCTGGTTCATCTCCTCTCTTTTTTCCAGCGTAATCTCATTTATTTAACACTTCTATTTTATTTTTACTTGCAGTTCTGCAGAGTTACAATTTATTTTCATATCAAACTACCATGTTGCACTTAAAGATCGAAAAATTTCATTTCTATACCTTGAGATTGCGGGTTGTAGAAAGGATCCAAATGCCAAAGTAATCAGTTAGACATTCAATTTTGTCTACCTGATCCAAATGCCAAGGTAATCAGGTAGAAGGAAAAATAATTTTAATTCTTGTGAATATGCATGGCGTGGTTCGTGATGTTGTTATATGAATAACTAATTCCTCTGGGAATGACCACAATTCTCTTATTCACGTTGGAATTGGGTTGACTGATATCACATATTAAAATATCAGCTTCTGCCAAGAGAATATCTTTTATAAACAACAAAAATGAATGTTTATCTAATTGCTTCATGGAATGCCCAGAGAATTGTAAACACGTAAATTCAAAAATTCCTGTCTATTCAAGATTTATTCTCTTCAACTTTTGAAGCTGAGGTGACGTCTTTAGAAATGAAGGAGAAGTTTAGGTGGCCAAAGTCTGCAATTTCAAGTATTCTTTCTAAAATATGCATTGAGCAGCTATAATTAATTTTGCCAATTGCTCTAATAGAAGAAGGACTTCATGTTGTGGCAAGTAGTCTTGAAGTTAATAATCTTGAAGCTTATTTCATGTTTCTTGCTACGTTGTGAATCATTCCTTCCAAATTGTTTTCCAATTCCTTGAGTGATGATGATGAAGAAGCCTTAAAATAATTAGAATTTATGCAGTCTCATCTCTCAAAACAGGTGGTATTTTGTGTTAACAAATATCTTATTATGTTTATAATAGCTAACTATCAAAGATCTTTCCCTCAATGCTTGATGCTTTGGTATCAGTTCAAAGGAATATTTTGTTATTTGCATTTAACAAGAACGTTATTAATGTGTACCAAATATTGTGTAGAATTTGGTGCCTTTATGAAAAGTCCTAATACATGTATTAGAATATTGCCAATAATCCAAGGTTCCATTATCTTCCTTAATGGATATGCGTTTTTTCAAGTGAAATTTTCTTATGAAAAATTATATTTAATATTCTTCGCACAACGCGGGGTACGGATACTAGTTAGTACTAAAAAGTTGTACATACAACTGATAGCTTTAGGGACAAAAAAGTACTGATAGGTCTCTTTTCCGCAATAAAATATATATAGATATATGCTGTCATAAAAATGAAGATGAAGATTCAGGAATAAACTTCGATAAAGACATAAATTAAAAAGGTTGTCAAATATATATATANATATACCTTACCCTATGGAGATACTAATCCTTTCCTAATTCAATTTCGTGCAGTTAAAATTTGAATAACAAAAAGAGCTAGATTTCATTGTCATCCCTCTAGGTTATTTTTATACTAACTACTTTATTTTTCATTTATTCTCCTCTCTTTTTTTCAACTCGCTTCTTAACTTTAAATAAATTTCGGCCAAGACATTTACAAACCAACGACTTTTAACTTTTGTGCATATCTTGTTCCTCCCTATATTAGTTTTCGTATATACTAATATATGTTAGTTAAGTCCTGTAGTTGTTGTCTTTAATTATCGATTAGGTTAAGTTGGATAGTCATTTCAAGCCACAAAGACAAGCTAACTAATTCTTATAAATAAGTTGGTTTGATCTTTTCTTTATTTTTTCTGATTACGTGAAAATATCAAAGTGAATGAAAATAGATTATGTATTATCAGTTTGTTTAGTTATCTAAAACGATGGCTATATACTCACAAACTTTCCCTTAAAACTAAAATATTCATTTTTGACGAGGAATTATCTTTCTTTTTTATGTTGATGGGCTTTTAAGTTATATATAAAATTAATTTACTTACTTTATAATAATAATACTATAATTTTCTTTACTACGTTACTAATAATCTGAAATCCAAATTGCAAAAGTTGAAGAATTAGGAGCAATGGATTATGTTAACGACCCGTTTGTCTATGAATTTTTTTCCCTTTCTTTGGAAATGTTTTCAAAATTGTGTTTGTTCAATGAAAATTTATAAGTTTTGGAGATTTTTCAAAAAATGAGTTTTTCAAAAATCAAAAAGTGGTTTTGCCAATTTTTCAAGTTTTTCGGAATCCCCCCTCCAGTGGCGGAGGCAGGATCTCCACGAAGGGGTTCAAAAAAAAAATTATATCTAGTGGGAATTGAACTCATAACCTTATGTAAATTTTGAACCCCCTTAACCACTAAACTACACTTTTGGATTGTGTTAAGGGGGTTCAAAACTTAATATATAGAGGTAAAAAACAGATTTTGCCTTATATCCGAACCCCTTTGCGCCCCCCTAAATCCGCCCCTCCCCCCTCCCCCCACAAAGCTGCAATATTTTTTAAGTAAAATATATGTCCGAACATAATTTTAAATTTTAAATACTATTTTTTAACTTAACTCCGAAAATTACTTTTTATTCAAAAATTATAATTTTCAACTTAATAATCTTTTTTATTAAGAAGTGATTCAAGAAGAACATTTCCTAGAATAGAAAGAAATAAACAAATCGGGTTAAAAGTAGATTGTCCCCCTTGTAGCTTTTGGATGTCGCATATTACCCCTTCAGATTTTGAAATATTGGCGTTTGGTCAGTCTTTCAAAGAAAACATTCACTAGCATTTATAATAGTAACACTTCCCAAAAACAATTTGTATTTGGATAAATTCTTAAATGTAAAATAGTTAGCTTTGAGTCAAATATGTTTTCCCTGTTTGTTGGAAATGTTTAGTTTGACATCTAAAAAGAAAATCTAAAAATTGAACAAATTTGTAATTTCCGTAGAAGCTCTTTTCCCCAAAGATTTGCTTAAAATTTATTTAATTTGATAAATAATTGGTCTAAGTCATTTGATATAAACAAAATAACAACTTAATAAATTAAACTGAGAGTAAATAAGATTTTTCTTTTCACTATCAAAATTGTTTGGCTAAGTAGATTAAGATACTTATGGATTTTTAACTCGATGAAATTCATGGAAATTAAAAACATGGTGACTTAAAACACAAAGTACTAGCACTACATTACAATTGACAGGAAAGTGATGTGGTGATTAGAATTTTTTTTCCCACTGCGTGTCCGACTGTCCGGTACCCACATGCTAAATCCGGATTCGCGCCGGAAAATTTCATACAGGGGCTCGAACCCGAAATCTTGATGATTAGAATCTTAATTTAAATATGATACATGACAAAAATAATAATTAAAAATAAAAACAGAAAAACACCCACAAGGTGGAACCCACAACAAAAATTTCTGCTTTCACATTACTATTTAGCTAATGATTTGATTCCATGGCTTGTAATTTATGGGATGGGCCATAGAAAATAATCAGAAAAGCAAAGAACGGAAAAATAGATGATATTGTGAAATTTATACGCAATATTAAATTATAATCATGGTTTTAAAAAACTAAGATTCTGTCACAGTTATTTAGTGTTACACATTTCAAGAGAAATGTTTTGGATTATTTCACTAGTGAACTTTTACTAAAATAAATTTCATATAACAACAGTGTTTACCTATCATATTTAATATATATATATATATATATNCTTACCCAATAATTTTTCTTTGAATTATAATATAAAGCAGTTTTACAGTAAAAACAAAAATAGATCCAGTTGTAAGACCAAAAATACCAAATGAACCTGCTATATTGAACTCTGTTTTTCTTTTATTTCATGTTGAGAAGTTTAAAATGAATTTAATCACTGAAAAACATTTATCCCAATAGAACTTATGTACAAGTTTTATTCCCAAATTGCATGTGGAGTATTTATTGATTAAGTTACTATTCTAATTATTAATCATGTGGGATGCTGTTACCACCTTAGTTACATGCATGAGATCAGAACATGCAATTCAATTAAATAAATCCAACATAGAAGCATCCCCATTAGGTGTATCTTTCTGTCTTATTTTCTATGCAATTAAGAACTTCAAAAAATGTAGTAGATTATTTTTTTGCCAACCCATGGAAATCATAACTGAGAAATAGAGAGGCTTTGAGCCAGCTTGTAATTCAGCTGCCTTTAGCTGAAGGCTACAACCTGTGCTTTAGTTACCTTTCTTGCTTTCTTGTTCTCTTTTTACTAAAATGATAGGACATTAGCAAATATATTGTTGGGAAACTATCAGCTATATCTATTTAGAAGTAGCTCATTATAAAAATTGGCTAATTCATAAAATATTATTAATATTAGCCAATTAGTTATTTATAACAAAAAAAAGTATCAAATTTTGCTATTTTTTGAACGAGTGTTATTAGAATAGATTGGGTACATCTTAAGTAGCTTGAATCTCAGATTTGAAATGATTTGATGAAGTTTTGAGGTGGTTTGAAGCTTTGAATTGAAAATTCGAAGTAAAAGCTGAACATGAAAAAAATGATATGTGTATCACACTGTGTATCAATTGTGTATCACATATGTATCACATGTATATTCATGTATACCTGTGTGTGAGATACATGCGTGATACATGTGTCGCAGAATTTTTTTTTGAACTCGATTTAATTACCAATTTTGTACAAAGTCAGCCCAAATCACCTCCAATCTTCCTCAAATTTTGTATATTGACTTATCTATATGTTTTCAATGAATTTCAACTATACGCATTGAAAAAGCTTCTTTTTTTCTTAGATTTTTGGAATATTGTATCTTTTTTTATATATATTTATTTCATCACCTTATTTGCTATCTCGTCCATGAAATTTCCTTTCCATCTTGCATCTAATATTTCTAATCATGCTTAAAAATATGGAAGGTGATTTTTGCATGTGATTTTTGAGAGAAATAACCTTATTTATTTGTTTTTTTAATTTTTATATGTACTTGACTAATTTTAGTAAGTCTATGAATAATGGCTAGACGTTGGTAAGTTGTGATTTATTTGGGACATTTGTGTAAGTTTTCCTATATTGTTTCCATCTCATTAAAAAAGATTGCTCGGTACCCTAATTCCGCACCTACATGAAATTAGTCGAATCATATTATATTTTATGTACGTATAATATCGTTTCTATAAAAATATTATTTTTATAGTTTGAACCCGTGGCTTCCTTATCATACGTCAACAATTTTTACCTTTACAACAATACTTCTCCTTATACAGATCCTGTCTCTTTGCTTCACAAATCTTATACTCCTTCCATTTTAATTTATGTGAACTTATTTGACTGGACGCGAAATTAAAAAAAGAGAGAGACTTTTGAACTTGTAATATAAAATGAGGCATATATATTTTGTGTGACTATAAATTATTGTATAAAGATAAATTATTTTCAAATATGAAAAGGGTCATTTTTTTTGGCACGAACTAAAAAGGAATATATTCATATAAATTGAAACAAATGATGTATTTAACTTAAATCATATCCTTATATCTTAGTGTTGCATTTATCGACGTGTGATCTTTGCTTAGACGAAGTGGGACTCTGAACAGCTTGTGTTCATAGCAAGTGTGGTTTTTCCTTTGTTGAATACAAGTTGGAGTGTGATTTTTTTTTTTTTTTTTTTTTTTTTTTTTTTTGTAGAATGCAAGTTGGATGTGCTATAGAAATAAAAGTGAATTGTGAACGACTTGTGTTCATAATCAAGTTGGGATTTACTACTACACGGAGGTGAATCTCAGCCACAAAAGAATCACTCCTATAACAACTCTCTTTATATATATATATATATATAAAAGACATCGTGAGTTAAAATTAAGTGAAAATTAAACATAAGACTTTAAGATGTAATATTTGAGCCTCATCCATTTAAGTTTCCATATCACACTCCAACCTGCAATTTACCGAATTTAAATTTTAAAAAATGGAGTATTTAATTTCAGGTAAAAAAAGCCTAACCAAAATGGAACGTAACGTAAGCCTAAAGTGAAGAAAGTAAAAAATGGAAGTCGAAGAGAAAAAAAGGCACCAAAGCTTGAGCTATTTCCATCACTCACACTCCCATTCTCAGCTGTCTGTCGGTGGTCCTTCTTACTTCTTCTACTTTCTTGCTACTTGCTAGCTTACATACATAATATATCTCTCTTTCTCTCTCTAACTCCTTCATACATATTCTTCTTTCCTCTCTACTACGAAACCTCACTCTTTCCCCCAAATGCAATAACAAAAGACAAGCCTAAGATCCAAGGTCTTATCTTTTTCTCCATCTCTCTATTCTGTCTTTCTGCATTCTTTATTATCAAGATTTTGCTGGTTTTCTATATGCTATAGTCTTAAAATGTTCAATTCTTTTGCCCGCATTCATTAGATTTTTTGGCTATATTTGTAAAAACTGTACAAACCTCGGTGAAATGTGCATGTGGGTTTTGGTTTTAATGGAAAAACCCATCTGGGGTTTTGTTTTTTGAGGTAAAGGTGTGAGCTTTAATAGTGTGTGATCTGGATCTTGAGATTTCTTGGATCAATTTTGTAGGATTTATGTTGGATTTGGTTTGAGATTGTTGTAATCTAAACTGCGCATTGATGTTTTGTTCAATTTATTGCTGAATCTGATCTCAGATTTATGTGATTTCCATATGTGAATTTTGGTTAGTTTTTGCTTTGAACTAGTCAAGTAATTCACTGCTCAAAATTAAGGAAAAAAATAAAAACTACTCAAGTAATTCTAGTGGTACTTTCATTGCTAAAAACTAGGCCATTACAATTTGATCTGTATCGTTTGTTAATGTATGACAAAAACACTTCATTTCTTAATTGAGCTAATTTTATTTTGGGCTTTTGGGTTTTCTCCAGAAGTTTTGTAATAAATGTTTACTTTACTGGTGGTCTGCAGGAGGCTGTTAGCTTTCTTCTGTGTCTTGGAGGTAGATCTGCTACGAAGATCTTGAGATCACAGCAAAGCTGGCGGCCGCACTTGCTTGGAGGTTCACTGCTGCCAATGGCAGCAGTCTAGCCAGTAATGATATGGTAAAGTTCCCTTTTTTTAGAAGAAAAAGCAACCGATATAATAAATTTTCTGGGGATTTATTTGATATATGAGCTGTTGAATTAGTTTTACTCAAAGATCTGGAAATACGCGTTGGTGCATTTCACTCTACCTGGGTGGTCTTTACTAGCAGTTTTATGTGCAATCATAGTGTTGGTATACTTTGTTTTCCATTGACATTGTTATGCGGTTTATTTTTCAGTCGACTTGTTCTAAGTATGTATTACTCCGTAGCTAAATCCGGATGGTTGTCACTGTTCTACTTCCTTTTTCCTCTGAACTCGCCTTGTGGAATGGGAGTGGGATAGTTCTTTTTGCATTTCTTTTTGTTGAAGAATCTGTCCCTATCATGTACAAAAATGTAAACATTTTAAATTGAAAGGGGTTGCATCACTGACTCGATGCTGCGTCTCGAATCTATATTTCTGTGATTCCATCACTGAGAGGAAAAAAGTTAATAGGTTTATACATCTTTACTTTGTTGAGTCGTAAAGTTAAACTGGCTGTTTTCTTGAAGATATTAGTCATGCTGTTTATGGTTGACATTTTCCTTCTCGAATGATATCACCGGATTCGCTGTGATTTCCCAGACTCGTGAAACATTCCTCACCAATATCTATCAATTCTTTTTTGTTTCAGGAAAGAAATGGGGATGCTAAACCTCATGATATGGAGCCTCCAACTCCACATTCAATCATGAAGACATCTTCAAGGTTAGTCTAATCATTAACGGTTTCAGTTTAGGGGCTCATAATGATCTGTTCTATGGCTTGTGTTTTACTCGATGGGAAGCAATTAGCTGTATAGTCAGTAGATGCTGTTTTTTTTTTTTTTTTTTTTTTTTTTTTTTTTTTTTTTTTTTTTGCTATAAGAATGACTGCATGAGGAAAATGAAAACACACTTTTCCTTGCAAAACTCCATCTGTTGCTCTCTTCTCATGGAATCTATATCTGCAAATGCTGCTACTGTTTCCTATACTTCATGAGGAGTCAGTTAAACTCGTCTACCAGATTCTTCTTTTTGTTTATAAGAATCCATTAGTTTTATCTCAATGCAGTATCCATATTTCCATAACTCCAACATGCATCAGTTGCACAAAACATAAATCATGCATAAGCTTCCATTGTTTCACCTTTCCTCCACAGATAGCGTAGATTCTCCAAGCTGCAAAATTGATTCATTCTGCTTTGAAATTGCTGGTCTTTGCTGTTACATTTTAAAACTGAAAATATTTAAACTGCAGTTGACTATATCCTGTACTTTGTTTTCTGTTGTAAGATACTAATCTGATGAAAGTTGTTACCAGTAAGAAAAGCAGCAATTGAACAAAAATTATAGTACTATCATTTAGAATCATGCAGCATTCTAACCTCATGTGGCCCAAATGACCATTTTACACGATGATATTCATGGCTGATTTAGAGTACAAACATAACCTGAAAGAACGTTTTGCTATTAAATTGTGCAGAGATCGTAGTAGCATGGAGGATCCAGATGGGACGTTAGCAAGTGTTGCTCAATGCATTGAGCAGTTACGGCAGAATTCGTCATCCATGCAAGAGAAAGAACATTCGCTTAAGCAATTGTTGGAGCTTATTGATACACGAGAAAATGCATTTAGTGCTGTTGGCTCACATTCTCAAGCTGTTCCAGTACTTGTTTCTTTACTTCGTTCTGGCTCACTCGGGGTAAAGATGCAGGCTGCTACAGTTTTGGGTTCTCTGTGTAAAGAGAATGAACTGCGAGTGAAAGTACTATTAGGTGGTTGCATACCGCCACTCCTTGGTCTTCTCAAGTCAAGTTCAGCAGAAAGTCAAATTGCAGCAGCAAAAACCATATATGCTGTGTCTCAAGGTGGTGCAAAGGATCATGTTGGCTCAAAAATATTTTCAACTGAAGGAGTTGTGCCAGTATTATGGGAGCAATTAAAAAAGGGACTAAAAGCTGGAAACATAGTTGACGACTTGCTAACAGGAGCTTTAAAAAACCTTTCAACCAGCACTGAGGGATTCTGGTCTGCAACAGTACAAGCTGGAGGAGTGGATATACTTGTTAAACTACTGAATAATGGACAGCCAAGTACTCAGGCAAATGTCTGCTTTCTCCTTGCTTGTATGATGATGGAGGATTCTTCTGTTTGCGCGAGAGTCTTAGCTGCAGAGGCCACCAAACAACTTCTTAAACTACTTGGATCTGGCAATGAAGCCCCAGTTAGAGCAGAAGCTGCAGGTGCTCTTAAATCTCTTTCTGCCCAAAGCAAAGAATCCAGGAAGGAAATAGCAAATTCCAATGGTATTCCTGCTCTGATAAATGCTACTATAGCTCCTTCAAAGGAATTCATGCAGGGTGAATACGCCCAAGCTTTGCAGGAGAATGCGATGTGTGCCCTTGCAAATATTTCTGGTGGCTTGTCATATGTCATTTCAAGTCTTGGTCAAAGCCTTGAATCTTGCACCTCACCTGCACAAGTAGCTGATACATTGGGAGCTTTAGCTTCGGCTCTCATGATATATGATAGCAAAGCAGAAAATTCAAGAGCATCAGACCCTTTGGAGGTGGAAGAAACATTGGTTAAGCAATTTAAGGCCCGCTTACCCTTTCTAGTGCAGGAGCGTACTATTGAAGCACTTGCCAGTTTGTACGGGAATACTGTACTATCTAGCAAACTTGCGAATTCTGATGCAAAACGCTTATTGGTTGGTTTGATCACAATGGCCGCGAATGAAGTTCAGGATGAGTTGATAAGGTCTCTTCTCTTCCTATGCAAAAATGAAGGTAGCTTATGGCATGCACTACAAGGTCGTGAGGGAATTCAGCTGTTAATCTCACTTCTTGGGCTCTCATCAGAGCAGCAACAGGAGTGTGCTGTTGCTCTTCTTTGTCTTTTATCCAATGAGAATGATGAAAGTAAGTGGGCCATTACAGCAGCTGGTGGCATACCTCCACTTGTTCAAATTCTGGAAACTGGGTCTGCCAAAGCTAAGGAAGATGCGGCAACTATCCTTGGAAACCTCTGTAATCACAGTGAAGATATCCGTGCGTGTGTTGAAAGTGCTGATGCTGTTCCTGCTTTATTGTGGCTTCTGAAGAATGGTAGCTCCAACGGGAAGGAGATTGCTGCAAAGACACTGAACCATTTGATTCACAAATCAGATACTGCAACTATTAGTCAACTCACTGCACTATTGACTAGTGATCTTCCAGAGTCTAAGATTTATGTCTTAGATGCATTAAAAAGTTTGCTCTCTGTGGCCCCTCTGAGCGATATGTTGCGTGAAGGTAGTGCAGCAAATGATGCAGTTGAGACGATGATAAAGATATTAAGCTCCACCAAGGAAGAGACTCAGGCCAAGTCTGCTTCAGCTCTTGCTGGAATTTTCCATCTCAGGAAGGACTTGCGAGAAAGTAGCCTTGCTGTCAAAACTTTGTGGTCACTCATGAAGCTTCTGAATGCTGAACCTGAAACCATCTTAGTGGATGCGTCGCGCTGCCTTGCTGCAATATTTCTCTCTATTAGAGAAAGCCGTGACATTGCAGCAATTGCTAGAAATGCATTGCCTTCATTAATGGTGCTTGCAAAGTCCTCAGTCTTACAAATTGCAGAGCAAGCAGTATGTGCTTTGTCCAATCTTCTTTTGGATCCCGAGGTGTCTGAGAAAGCAATTCCTGAAGAGATTATCTTGCCTGCTACTAGAGTTCTTCGTGAAGGCACAACTGGTGGAAGGATCCATGCTGCCGCAGCAATTGCTCGTCTTCTTCAATTTAGTCAGGTTAATCCTGCCTTAACTGATTGTGTTAACCGTTGTGGAACAGTTCTTGCATTAGTTTCTTTCCTAGAATCAACTGGCAGTGACTCTCTTGCTATATCAGAAGCTTTAGATGCACTTTGTTTCCTTTTAAGGCTGGAAGGAGCTAGTGGTATCAAACCTGCATGGGCAGTTCTAGCTGAATACCCTAATAACATAATTCCAGTAGTTTCATGCATTGCTGATGCCTCACCAGTTTTGCAAGACAAAGCTATTGAGATATTGTCAAGACTCTGCCAAGCTCAGCCCACTGTTCTTGGCGATGCTATTGCTTGTGCCTATGGATGCATTTCTTCAGTTGCAAGAAGGGTAATCTGTTCCTCCAATGCTTTGGTTAAAATAGGAGGAAGTGCACTTCTTGTTTGCGCTGCAAAAGTGAATCATCAGAGAGTGGTGGAAGATTTAAATGAATCAAAGTCTTGTGTTCCACTCATTCAATCTTTTGTTGGGATGCTAAATGCTTCAGAGTCTCTACATTTGGAGGACCAAGGGGGTAAGATTGCAATTAGCATCTCCAGGGATTCTGAAGAAGAATCAAGAAAGGATGAGACGGAGAAAAGTACTTCGGTTGTTTCCGGGGTCAATATAGCTATATGGCTACTTTCAGCTCTTGCCAGTCGCGATGACCAAAGTAAAGTTGAGATTATGGAGGCTGGTGCGATTGAAGTTCTTACAGAGAGAATTACTCAATCTTTTACTCAGTTTACACAGGTAAGTACTACCTTTAGTTGAAGTGCTTTCTTTCTGTGATAAAACCACATCTAACCCAAGACTCTTGAATTTGTTATGGTATTTATCTTGTTCCAAAGCACTATATGACCTTTGTTAATACTTTTACAGATTGATTTCAAGGAGGACAGCAGCATATGGATTTGTGGATTGCTTCTGGCTATCTTATTTCAAGATAGAGACATCATACGAGCACATGGAACGATGAAAGCCATACCTGTGCTAGCTAATTTGCTGAAATCAGAAGAGTCAGCAAACAGGTATTTCGCCGCACAAGCCGTAGCCAGCCTTGTCTGTAATGGTAGCAGGGGAACTCTGTTGTCTGTTGCAAATTCAGGTGCACCATCTGGACTCATAACATTGCTTGGTTGTGCTGATGAGGATATAAAGGACCTTGTTGCACTATCGGAGGAATTTGCCTTGGTCCGTAACCCAGATCAAGTTGCACTTGAGAGGTTGTTCAGGGTCGATGATATAAGGGTTGGTGCAACTTCTAGGAAAGCTATACCAGCCCTTGTTGACTTGCTAAAACCTATCCCAGATCGTCCTGGTGCGCCTTTTCTAGCTCTTGGACTTCTGATTCAGCTTGCCAAAGATTGTCCTTCAAATAAGATTGTTATGGTGGAATCTGGGGTTCTGGAAGCATTGACTAAATACCTTTCACTTGGCCCACAAGATGCAACTGAGGAAGCTGCCACTGATTTATTAGGTATCCTATTTACTACTGCTGAAATATGCAGGCACGAATCTGCTTTTGGTGCTGTTGGTCAGCTAATTGCAGTTTTACGTCTTGGTGGAAGAGGGGCAAGGTATAGTGCTGCCAAAGCCTTGGAAAACCTATTCTCAGCAGATCACATCAGGAATGCAGAATCAGCTAGACAGTCTGTTCAGCCTTTGGTTGAGATTCTAAATACTGGTCTAGAGAGGGAGCAGCATGCAGCCATTGCTGCATTAGTTAGGCTTCTCAGTGAGAATCCTTCAAAAGCACTTGCAGTTGCAGATGTTGAGATGAACGCAGTAGATGTTCTTTGCCGGATTCTTTCATCAGGCTGCTCAATGGAGCTGAAGGGTGATGCAGCCGAGTTGTGTTCTGTTCTGTTTGGAAATACAAGAATAAGGTCTACAATGGCTGCAGCTAGGTGTGTGGAGCCTTTGGTTTCTCTTCTTGTTACTGAATTTAGTCCTGCACATCATTCTGTTGTCCGTGCATTAGATAAACTAGTGGACGATGAACAGCTGGCTGAACTAGTTGCAGCACATGGTGCAGTCATTCCCCTTGTTGGCCTTCTTTACGGCAGAAACTATTTAATTCATGAGGCTATTTCTAGAGCTCTTGTTAAGTTGGGGAAAGACAGGCCTTCCTGTAAGATGGAAATGGTCAAGGCTGGGGTTATCGAGAGTGTACTTGACATTCTGCATGAAGCACCAGACTTCCTCTGTGCTGCATTTGCTGAATTGCTCAGAATACTGACAAATAATGCTACCATTGCTAAGGGACCATCTGCTGCAAAGGTGGTAGAGCCACTTTTTGTATTGTTGACGAGACCAGAGTTTGGACCTGATGGGCAGCACAGCACGCTGCAGGTCCTTGTGAATATCCTAGAGCATCCGCAGTGCCGCGCTGATTATACCTTGACATCTCACCAAGCTATAGAACCTCTTATTCCCTTACTTGATTCTCTTGCTTCTGCTGTGCAACAACTGGCTGCTGAGCTTCTGTCTCACCTGCTTTTGGAAGAGCACCTGCAGAAGGACCCAGTTATCCATCAAGTGATTGGTCCCTTGGTACGGGTCCTTGGTTCTGGTATACCGATTTTGCAGCAGAGAGCTGTGAAGGCCCTAGTCTGTCTTGCGCTGACTTGGCCAAATGAAATTGCAAAAGAAGGTGGCGTTGGTGAACTGTCTAGAGTGATATTGAATGCTGACCCTTCACTCCCTCATGCCTTGTGGGAGTCAGCTGCTGCAGTATTATCCAGCATTCTGCAATTTAGCTCTGAGTTTTATCTGGAAGTACCTGTTGCAGTGTTGGTAAGATTGCTTCGCTCTGGCTCTGAAGGCACAGTTCTTGGTGCATTGAATGCTCTCCTTGTGTTGGAGACTGATGACTCCACCAGCGCTGGAGCTATGGCNCGTGGACGATGAACAGCTGGCTGAACTAGTTGCAGCACATGGTGCAGTCATTCCCCTTGTTGGCCTTCTTTATGGCAGAAACTATTTAATTCATGAGGCTATTTCTAGAGCTCTTGTTAAGTTGGGGAAAGACAGGCCTTCCTGTAAGATGGAAATGGTCAAGGCTGGGGTTGTCGAGAGTGTACTTGACATTCTGCATGAAGCACCAGACTTTCTCTGTGCTGCATTTGCTGAATTACTCAGAATACTGACAAATAATGCTACCATTGCGAAGGGACCATCTGCTGCAAAGGTGGTAGAGCCACTTTTTGTGTTGCTGACGAGACCGGAGTTTGGACCTGATGGGCAACACAGCACGCTGCAGGTCCTTGTGAATATCCTAGAGCATCCGCAGTGCCGCGCTGATTATACCTTGACATCTCAGCAAGCTATAGAACCTCTTATTTCCTTACTTGATTCTCCTGCTTCTGCCGTGCAACAACTGGCTGCTGAGCTTCTGTCTCACCTGCTTTTGGAAGAGCACCTGCAGAAGGACCCAGTTATCCATCAAGTGATTGGTCCCTTGGTGCGGGTCCTTGGTTCTGGTATACCGATTTTGCAGCAGAGAGCTGTGAAGGCCCTAGTCTGTCTTGCACTGACTTGGCCAAATGAAATTGCAAAAGAAGGTGGCGTTGGTGAACTGTCTAGAGTGATATTG